GATTCCTATAACCTATTCGAGGTTATCTGTTGTAGTTTGGAATATACTCCACATCACTTTTCACTAGATTCTGCATCTATCAATGTCATTGTCTGCTCATCTGAACTTTTCTCTGGGGGATATTTTGTGAGCCGGTATGTGGATTTCCAACACTTTCCTATTTCATTACCTTCATGATCTGGCAGTTTCCTCTTCTGTGGGATTTTTGCCTCCCATCCATGGCTATGTTGACTACCTCTGCTAGATTTTAACAAGGAGGTGTGTGACTTTCTTACCTGATCAACAGTTTTTATTTTTTTCTTCTAGGGTCCCTCTTTCTTTCCTTTGCATCCCACTCAGTGGTGAGTGTTGCCCAGTCAGGCATGCTTGTATTTTTTCAATTCCACATTAGCAACCTTTATATCGGTTCATGGTTGCAACAGGCTCTGTCGAGATGAGGTGTTCCATAAGACCATCTGGATAAATTCTAGATGGTAGTATTATCTCACAATACAAATCCAATGGACTGCTACTCATGGACTATCATGAGTAAAGCGAAAGGGGATTTTGCCAATCCCTGCTGATCTTAGAGTTGAATCAGTCACGATCAGTTTGCTTTTAAAACTTAGGGAATGTGGTTTACCTGTTGCACTGTCTCCGGAGGCCTGTTCCTCAGGACTCTCCACCACGTATGTGTTCCCTTACTGCTTCTAGTGGAGCTAGGGTATCCTTATCACACCCAGTTGCTGGAGTGGTGGACAGAGCATTTTCCTTCGGAATGTTGAGTTTTCTCCACTCTCGGAGAAGAAGGTGAAGTTGGGGACCCTCCTACCTGGGTCCATGGAAGTTTTTCCCAGATGTCGGTAGAAGCAGGACCAACATATGCGGGAGCCTAATAGTAAAACCGGTTCAGATTTGATGCTTAGCTATTGGGTGTGTGTGTGTGTGTGGGGACCCTGTTATGAACACTGTCATGTCTTAGGTTGTTCATGCAGGGGTCCACTATCTCCTTGTAAATCCAAACGCAACATGGTCCCATCTTAGGCCCTTGGTGGAACAGTTCCATGTCCTCTCCATAATTCCATAGGTAAGTGGAATTCTCCTTGCCCACTTGGTTGGGGAGTGAAAATGACTGTTTGTAAATCCAGACCGGGTAAGGTTTGGATCTTGGGTGGAGTATGGCATATATGATTCTATCAATCCAAGCCTGGGATGTTGCCTTTTGGATTTCTTCAGGTTGATCAGTAGGATTGTCCACTTTGGTGTTGCAGTTTTTCTTTTGTAAAGTCGATTGTTCGAAATGCATCATTCTGTGGTTGCTGGTGGGGACCCTATCACAAAGAAATGTATATATATTTGCAGTCCAACTGCCCTTGCCACCAATGGAGGATATGGGTATATATATACTTACTTATGTAATATTCCACTCTTTTCACTTTTCTGTAGTTCTGGGTGTAGAACATACCTGTTCTGGATGTAGTGCGGTTTTCCCCACTTGGGTACCATTTCTCATGGTACACCTTTGTTCTGTGCAGATGCTTTCTGTATGAACTATGCCCTCACCGGCCCCTCTACCTTCTCAATGTGGGATTCTAGCTATAAGGGTCAGCGGAGGTATGTATGTTTTGGAAGTTATTTTTTTAATCTGAAAATGTATTTCCAAACATACTTACCTCTGCTGACACTCTCCCTCCCTTTCTCCCCACTAAGAGCTGATGTTAGTGACCTGGATGGGGTAAGTTTAAAAAAGGTGATTAATTGTCGATATGCAGTGCTTATATACAGTACCTGCATAGAGGGTGTGTGAGAGCCGGTGTAAAGTTTTGCAAATTAGATATTGCCGAGGGCAGTCGAGTGGGGTATAAAGACTGCAGCAAGTGAACATGATGTTTAGATGGCAAAGATGAAGATCGAGAAATAGTTACAAGTGTCAGTGGAGGTAAGTGTGTTTGGAAATACATTTTGAGTTTAGGAAAATGATAACTTTCTTTTATGTTATTTAAACCTTATTTTAAAACAGTAAATTTCACAATTGTGTTTTGCATAGTAATGTAACTCAAAAAAGGTTAGTTACCTAAACCTTTTTTTCTTTTCAGGAGTATTAATTATCTCAATCTAAATGAAGAGTATTATGGAGTTTTCAAGTTTAACATTCGGAATTTTTGGAGGAATAAGTATGTGTTGTGGGGTTGCTCTAGGGTGGTTCTTTCAAGGAAGACTTTGGAAAAAGCAACAGAAATTACTAAGGATTGCCTCAGCTTTAGGAGCATCTACAACAGAGGAGGTTAAACATTTTTTATTTTTAAAAATTTGCTATAAATCAATAGTTATCAGCACTGTGCAATATTATCATCCACATTTAATAGTTACTATGGTAATAGGCAGTTATTGAGTTACAAATAGTATTTATTTAAATATCAGGAATATGCAGTTAGTGACAAGAGGACACAAATCACCAACTTGACAAAGTTCACATTAGAATAACAGAAATAGAAAAATAATAAAAGTTATTAATACTACCTTATTATACAAAATTATTAACTTTTCATTGTTCATATTGAATGGATACTTGATAAATTTTAATTTTTATACAATATTTCACTTCAAAAATCATGAGAAACTGAGACTCGTCCTGTTTCTAAAGTTTCTATGAAGACTGATTCAGGCTGATGACTTCTTACTTCAGTTAACTTACTTGAGGATTGACAAAAACTGATGACTGGCTTGCTTAGGGCTGACTTACTTTATTATATTTTTATTATAGCTTTTGAATGTTTAGTTGCTATGGTGGGTGTGATCTGAATGGAACCTGTTAGTTACCATAAAATTTGTTTTTAATAATGGCTGGACTATCTAGGAACTTTCTTGCAAGAATTGTATCACTGGTAAACCATTGCCATCAAGGAAAACTTAGGTAAATGATGCTTTGTTCTCCACATACTTAATAGTATTTGTTCACTGATCATCAAAACATTTGATGTCCTATCAGCTTCTCAACAGTAGAAACTCTTATGTTCACATCACACTTCTTTTAATATTCCTATCCAACCAAATGTTTACATTTCATCACCAAACATTGTAACATGACATTGTGTAGTTGCAATTAGTAGTATCAGGTGGAACTTTATCCAGTTTGATCCAACTAAACTCTTGGTTGTTCATGTTTTTTAATGTCACTTTATGAAGATTTTGGTATGTCTTTCTGGCATCATGATGACACAGTGTACTTTTCTAATGATATATTTTCAACATCTACGAGTTACATGTGTCCTCAGCATTTTGTATACTAAAAAGTCTTTTGTCTGTATTTACTATGTGTATGTTTTATCATTTTTTATAGTATATAGCATGCACGTTTTGTTTATTTTTATTATTTGCTGACTGTTTGCCAACTTTAGTATGTGTTCAGTGTGGTTATTTTAATGAATCAGTATTTCTTTAAAAATTACTTCAGTCTTTAAGTAATATTTAATATTTGAATAAGAATACTTCCTGATCAATATACTTTACAAGTAAGATAATATCCTTGTTTTATTTAACTATGCTTATTTCACAACAAATAATTGCACCTCAGCATCTTAAGATTCACAACATAATTAGTTTACTTCAATTATTGTAGTTTTATGTTTATATATTTATATACACAACATAGCTGTAAGAAGGTGATTTGAGGTGGTTAGCCAAAAAATATGTTATGAAAATTATTTTTATAATTAAATATTCATGAGTACAGCTGGACAATTAGTCTAATTTGCTAATTGATCAATTGTCTGACTCATTAATGAATTACAATGAGCTAATTTGTTATTCTTACATGAGACTAATCTTCCTATTTTTGACAATGTTTTTAAGACAATTTTGAAATAAGCTTTATTTAGTGTGATAGACATTTTCAGGTACAACAATTTAGGATTAAGTTACTTTTTTACTGCCTCTATACAGGCTTGGTCAATTTGACCAACCTTATAACCACCACAAAAAAATATGAAAGAAATATAAATTACCTTTTGTTTTTCTTGAATGATTGTAGATTGTAACAGAATTACATTTACAGTCTCAGAATTCTAACAGTTTACGTCTGTTTTTATTAATTTTTTTGTTGTTTTATTGTTTGGACCACGTCTAACTACTAAACCTGTATAACAAGGTAAAAATCACGTGGTGAACACAGAGCTCAAGTTATGGTATTGAATTACATAATACACAAGATTTTCACATGCATATCTCATGGGGAAATTAATTTCCTTTTTATTTGATTTCTTATGTTTCTTTATCTAACCTAATATTCTTCTAATTTTTGTATTTGAGTTACTTTTATAACAATAAATAAAAAATGTATATAAAAACAACAAATTTAATACTTACATGTGAGTCTTGTGCTTTTTTTCTGTGCAAGACTTGTTTCATTAAAAGTTGACCAAAATTTTACTAGTTGTTTTTAATTTACTGTATTTTTGCTTATTTCAAATATTCAGTCTAACACACAAAATAATAGTACACACAAAACATACAATGCCCTATAACTATTATAATTTAACTGGCTTTTTAACTCATTCTTGAGTATGATAAAATAATTCCCTTAGCTGGTTGAGCTGAACTTAGAGATAGCAACTTTAAATTTGTATGCCGAATAATTCAAAAGCTATCGTGAGAACAAGCTAACATTATACACAAATTAGTGAATTAATATTTTTTCTTTCTGTTGGTTATAAGTATTGTAATAGCAAATGTCAGATGGAATTATTGACCTTTTTTGAAAGGCAGTATATGGTAGGAGGGCATGACATGTGGGTTGGACATTCTGCTTATGTTTAACTAAAACAAGATGATTGGAGGCTATAAAATTTGATTGTCTTAGCAAGTTCTATAATATAAGTTTGTAATTTGGATTCAAACTCAGAAGCTTAAATAGGATGGAAAGATTAACTAAATTGTGCAATTCAGAGCTAACAGGTGTCACATGATACAGTAAAACAAAAACTGAGAATTTATTTAAATCTTTCCTTTTAAAATAGAAAAATAAATTTTACATGATATTAAAAATTGCATTATTAAATACAGTTTTATGCCAAGTTTATTCACATACATTGATAATAAAGTAGGTTAATTATATTTTGAAAGTGACTGCAAGAAGATTGTGGTGTATACTTTTACCTACCAGTTTCCAAATGGTTAATCCTAAACTGTTATACAAGAAAAAAAATATATATATATATGTAGTGTAGTATGAAACAAGCTGAAAATGTGTTTAATACCATTCTGTGGGTTTCTCCATATAAGTGTCCACAAAATGACTACTACAACTACTTAATTTTGGTTGATTGAAATAAATGTTACTTTATGACACTGATTATAAATAAGAAAAATACAAAACATAACAGTGACTAATGAGATTTGTATTAGGCACTTGGTAACGTAAATTACATAACCTTAGTTCTGGTTATTGAGTTTACAATTTTTGTATGAACACATCTATTTTCAAGCAATCAAGCATGTGGTGGTGAAAGAACATACATCTAGGCAAGCAAGCAGATGGATACTTTGTGTATCTTCACTTCACAAAGGGACAATAAGCTTAACAGCACATGCCACTTCACTTGTTAGAGGTAGAGGAGAATAACATTATCATTAGTATAAAATTAGTCATTATTTTGTACACAACAATATTCCAGTGTGATGTGAGGTAAAAATTTATTATTTTGAATCAGCGAGCTGTTAATTCAGCACTTATTTTCACAAGTTGTGACACTAAGAGATTATGCTGAACAAAACTGTGTAAGAATTTAAAATATAATTATTTTGCCAATTGTCAAAACAAAAGGCTTTTACTTATATTTCTTAATAGTATAAATATATACTATGTTGTTGTTGTTGTTGAGATTAGGATTCTTCTACAGTAGGTGTTCTTCACACTAGAGAGATTATAGGCATATCATAAATACTATATATATAGTTCTCTTCTTCTTGTCAAAAGTCCACTTAGGCCTATTGAATTGCTTTAGAATTTCAACTGACAAGCCTAACTATCTTCTCTATTACTATCACACTAGTATTCTGTGTACTGTATGATTCATTCACAATTGTGGCATGAGTTACTGCAGTCGTATACTACTCTTTCAGTAATTGTTTGGTCTTCTTTCTTCGAAATATCCTCTGTTCCTTTTGTCAAAATGCACTCACGTTGATTCAATTACTTTATAACCACACTTTTATG